GTAGATGCCCAACTTCTAGATCAGCAGGCTGAATTCCATACCAACTAAATTGTGACACCACGTATCATTGTGGAACACTCAAGTGAATGCAATTCACTACTATACATCAATTTCATTGACCACGAGTAAGCATTCGCCAGCCTGGACTAGATGACACTATGGAGGCTTCTTCGGCACTAAAACGTGCCTGAGAAGATAGTCAACATCATACAGAATTCTAATGACGCATTAAAGTGCTAAATCGTGCATGTAGGACAGCCCACGCAATCATTCCAAGCGAAGACCATATGTCAGACAACGCTGTCTATTCTAACCCTCTCTAATCCTGATGGTTGAATGAATTATGAATATGTCAACAACTAGGGAGATGCATGGAACACTGTGGAGAGCTCGGATGCAGCTAAACGATTTCAACGTCGCAGATGATCTAGCCCTTATATTTAACACGCAACAATAAATGTAGGAGAAGACAGTCAGTGTGATAGCAGCTTCAGTAGCAGTAGGTCTCAACATAAACAAAGAATAAAGCGAAATCCTCCAGTACAACGCAAAGTGCACCACCGACCAAATCACACTTGACGGAGAGGTATTGGAAGATGTGGAAACGTTTACGCACGAATGTAGGCAGCATCACTGATAAACAAGATGGATCTGATGTAGGTGTGAATGCGCAGACTAGTAAAGCAGGAGAAACATTTCTACAATTGAAGAACATCTGAACTTGAAATCATTATCAACCAAGACGGAAGTCATAATTTTCAATACGAACGTCTAAACGGTCTAACCGTATGCCACGGAAACTTAGGGAGCTACGAAGGCAATCATCCACAAGATATATTTTAACTTTACTTACGCCTGTTACCCCAAATAGAGCATAGGCCATCGACCAGCATTCTCCAACCTACTCCATCCTGCGTCTTCCTTTCTAGTTCTACCCAATTGCTGTTCATTCTTTTTGTGTCTCCATTCAACTCCCAGTGTACTGTGTTCCTTGATCTTCCTCTTTTCTTTTCACCTTGAGGATTCCAAGTGAGGGGTTGTCTTGTGATGCATTTGGATGATTTCCACAATGCGTGTCTCATCCACCTTCAGGGCTTCTTCCTGATTTTTCTTCTGTTGGAATCTGGTTTGTTCTTTCTCATAATAGGTTGCTGCTGATGGTGTTTGGCTGACGGGTTCTCAGTATCTTTAGAAGCCAACAGATGACCCTGTGTTTATGAAATGTTTGTTTCTGGTCCTAGATGTTCTTTTAGTTTCATCGATTTAAACAAAGCAACCAAATACTCTATAAAAATCTGTAATTTAAAAACAAATGATTTAACTTTCATACTAATTAAGCCACAATATTCCAAAGTATTTTGTTAATAATTACTTTGAAAATTATATGCTTCACTATATAAATTAATTTAATTTTCGTACCAAGTGTTGGAGACGTTAGATCCTCAGAACTCACTTGATTAAGGTCCTAATTTTTGGATTTTCATGTTTTCGCGCATGGGCTGATCAGTTGACCTTCAGCATACATTTCCCACTCGGAAAATTCTTCACTGTCATTGGTTGATGTATTATTATGATACGCTATTTTTGTGGCTCACCCAACGACGTTTCTATAATGTATAAATAAACTTGATTTGTGTACTTGTCAACCTCATATTTTCTGGGTGCTTGTAGAATACACTTTCTACGTCTTGTCAAGACTTCTTCTTCTACTTAGTAGGTTATTGGGATGTTCAGATTAGAATAGCCTATCGTATCACTGCATCATTTGTCTTCACTCTCGTTTACCGACTAAGTTGAACTCATAATCGCATTCAAGCATAATCAAATTCAAAACAAAAATTTTCCTCAAACAATAAATAAATCAGTTTTTAATTCAAACATTGAACTTTCACAAAAACCATAACTGATCCATTATCAATTGTACATTAACAATCATTCAAATAAACCAATAAATTCTTCCCATGATCATATCATCATTCCTTTTCAAAATATCACACAATCAATGAGTCATTATTGATTTTTTTTTTCTTTTTTCTTCATCAAATTCACATAGTTTTTTTTTTCATGCCTTTCAAATGATGCTCTTCTTTTGATGAACAGTCGTCAGAAAAATCAATAAATCTAATCAATAATTCTCGATGATATATATACGTAATTTCTTTTTTATAACGATGATGATGAGTAGATGAATAGATGAATAGATTTGTCATAAATTAAAAATCATATTGCACTTAGTTAAAATTATTTTTTCCTATATGCTAATTATTTTTATCAATAAATTTTTAATTATTCACTTCTTAATTTGTTTATTTATTATTTAAAGTGGATTGATTAAAGTTTTATTATTGACATGTTATTATTATTATTATTATTTAGAGTGTTGTTACACTTGTGATTTGATAGTGGTTATTTGTTTGAAAAAGAAAAAAAGGAATTAATTAATTAATTAATAATTAACTACTAATTATATTTATTATTTATTTGTCAAAAGATAACGATTCATAATCAGCATAATTCATGTTCATTCATATGAATATGATTTTTATTCGTTTCTGTTGGTCATTATTATTATTATTATTGCTACTATTGTTATCGCATGGATTAATGATGGTATATACTTATCCAACTAATTATATTCCACAATCTATGTGGTCACCAAATTATATTCCAAAAAATTTACCTATATTAACTAGTAAAGAAGCTAAAAATCCAATTTATAATCCAGAATATTCATTATCTTATCAAATGAAAGATAAAAGTTTAAAGAAATATCATTTAGATATGGAGGATGAATATAGTATACCGGAATTGCCTAAATTAGCAGTGAATTATGAATTGGATTCACGGAAAACATATTCATTGAATAGTGAAGTGGATGAACGTCAACAGAATACTCACAAGAACAACAACTATGATGATGGTAATGATGATGATGATGGTGCAGGTGAAGGTGATGATGTTGTAATACATTTTGATAGTGAAAATAACAATAATCATCATAATAATCATGATAATAAAGATAACAGTCATTATAATCATTATAATTATTATAATCAACGTTACAATAAACAAAGAAACAATAAACAATTAGACAATTCAATACAACATAATAATAAACCAACTTCTAAATCAAGACTTCTTTATGGTACAAGTTTAATGCCAACAGTTTCTGTACCTGTGACAATCCCGGTACAAACACAACTTCCAGTTTCTGTACCATTAACACAACCAATAATAAGTCATCCTTATCCTGTTGCTAGACCTGTATATATGCCTATGTTTGGCTATCCACATGTTGGTCATTATCCTATGATGCCTCAACAACCAATGATACCATATCAACCAATGATACCACAGCAACCAATGATACCACAACAACCTGTGATACCACAACAACCAACTCCACAGCAACCACCACCTTCACCACCTCCACAGCAACCACCACCTTCACCACCTGAAGTAACTCCACAACAACCACCTGAAACACCTCCACAACCATCACCACCTGCAGAAACTCCAGAACAACCACCTGAAACACCTCCATCACCACCACCACCTGCACCGGCACCTGCACCACCACCACCTCCACCACCGCCACCTGCACCGGCGCCACCTCCGCCGCCTGAAATACCTCCACAAATACCACTACAACCATTGCCTGGACCATCCATTGAACAAAAACAAATACAAACTCAAGTGCATACAATACCAGGGCTTCCACAAATAAAAATCACTCAACAACAACAACAACTATTACAAATTCAACAACTTCAACAACTTCAACAACAACTTCAACAACAGAAGCCAAAAATCACTGTGAAACATATTGTTATACCACAAAAAATACAGGTATTAATTAAAGCTCCAAGAATTAAACCAAGATTTATTAAACGATATTATTATTAAAGTTATAATGTGTTAATAATGACGACAGTAATAATAATAGTTATTATTATTATTATTATTACTATTGTTATTATATTAACCATACTTTAATAATTTACCATATTAAAAAATCATGTAAATTTGTTTTGTTTTGTTTTGTTTATTTTTAACAATTGACGATATTGTTCAATGTTCAATGAAGAATAATTTATTATCAAATATTCGACAAACATTCTCACAGTTTCATTATGTTGATCAGTTAGTTTTTGAGATAACTTGAAATTACACAATGAAATCTTCAATCAATCAATCAATCAATCATTTTTAGACTACCATTAGAATGCTGGAAGCACTCACTGGACAATCGTTTCGTCCTGGTTTCAATGCGCATCCATGCATTCATGCACCCCGTAGGATTCAAACCCAGCAGCTTCGTTCTTGCGCGCAAACGCTTAGTAGTCCAGAGGTTAGGCAGTCTCTATAACTCTAATCGATCAATGTTAGACCACCATTAGAAACCTGGAAGCACTGGACGGCCGTTTCGTCCTGGTATGGGACTCATCAGTGGCAGTGCGCGTCCACGACTCCTGTACCCCGCAGGATTCGAACCCAGGACCTTCGGTATTGTGTACACACACACACATAGTTCAGATTAAGTATAGAAGTTTAAGAGAATCGACAACTGTCGATTTTATTGGGAACTTGTTAAATTGTTGTTACCTAATACCATTATCAATAAATGTTTGAGTTATTCTATTGCTGATAATTTCCAACAACTTTTGTTAACCAATGTGCATTCTTAGTGGATAACATCAGTGCAATCATTAAGTCACAAGTTATATTATTACTTACTTACTTACGCCTGTTAACCCCAACGGAGCATAGGCCGCCCACCAGTTTTCTCCAACCAACTCTGTCCTGGGCTTCCCTCTCCAGTTCTGTCCAATGTTTGTTCATTCCTCTCATATTTTTCTCTATTCCTCGGCGTAATGTGTTCATTGACCTTCCTCCTTTCCTTTTGCCTTGAGGGTTCTATGTGGGGGCTTGTCTTGTGACGCAGTTTGGTGCTTTTCGTAGTGTGTGTCCTATCCACTTCCACCACTTCTTCCTGATTTCCTCATCCACTGGAATCTGGTTTGTTCTCTCCCACAGTACGTTGTTGCTGATGGTGTCTGGCCAACGAATCCGAAGTATTTTGCGTATACAACTGTTAATAAACACTTGTATTTTCTGGATGATGCCTTTCGTAGTTCTTCAAGTTTCCGCTTCATACAGTAGAACTGTCTTGACATTTGTATTGAAAATCTTGATTTTGGTTTTGGTTGAGAGTTGTTTGGATTTCGAGATATTTTTCAAGTGTAGAAATGCAGCCCTTTCTTTGCTAATCCGCGCCGTCACATCTGCATCGGATCCACCTTGATTGTCGATGATGCTGCCCAGATATGTAAAGGTGTTAACGTCCTCCAAGGTATTTCCATCAAGAGTGATTTGGTTGGTGCATGTTATAAGTAGATGAATTGTAACTCGAAGTGTCAGTAGTAGTTCTCATTTTTTTCAGAAACTTCTCAGATAGTATGTGCCTGTCAGTCCAGTATTGGTGCCTACATTAAAGCTCAAACCGAGTATTTATCGGCTAGAACACTTAACTTATTATTTACTGTTCTGCTACTAAATTCATCTATTCACTAACTTGTTCTATGTAAATGACATTTATATTGCTGTTCCTAAATGTTTGAGTATTTTGAGCTAACTAAACTTAAATACAATGAAAAAAATGGAGTTCATTTTATTCTTCCATCAATTATAATCCGTCTATTCTTAATCAATTGTAAGTTTCAATCAGCTAAAATTATTTGTTTTAATGCGATCTTCAATGATGAACTAAAACTTATCAACGATCTACTGAGTAAGAGCGGATATTCACTGAAGCTCCTAACGAACACATCTCTGTGGTGAAATGGGAAGAACAGTTGCTGACAGTACCTGATTAGAAAGTGATACAACCCATTAATTGAACATTTGATACAACAACATTATATCTTTCTTCAACTAGATGTGGCCTTCAAGTATATTGATTGGATTCTGTGGAACTTTTCTACTTTTCCTAAATTCAATAGAAATCATTGATATGCATACATTTAAATAAGCCTAATCTTAGTGTGATGAAAAAATTTGTACAGTTTTTTCAAGTTACTTTAATCTTCGGTCATATGAAACCCCTAGATTGGGCTTCGACGCGTAAGACCGAAGGTCCTGCGTTCGAATCCTACGGGGTTCAGGAGTCATGGATACACACTGCCGTGTTTCCATGTTTCTAATGGTGGTCTAACAATCAACGGTTGATGATTTCGATAGGTAATATTAGTTTGACAAATAAAATCAAGTGCTCCGTTTCTAACTTACTCAATTCTTATCATTATTCTCATGTAATATGTTGTTACAATGAACCAATCATGTAGACATGTCCTTAGATTTAATTGTTACATCTATTGTACTACTATGAGCTAATGATTATCCTTAACGAAAATATTGATTAATATATTAGTGAACTGATTGATTACCATTGACATGATATCGATTTTTTTCATATAGTTTTGGAACCAATATATGAGTGTAAAACCATGAAAAGAAACAAATTAGAAGGAAGTGTTTCTTCAATCAACTTGTATTTCATACTTTATGTGTGAGGTAGTTGTTGGAGTTAGTCGAAAGGATACCCGAGACCTAGATTTCATGTTAGTTGTTACTTGTCAGCAAGGTATATCTGTAATCTTGTGGGAAGTGACGCTCCCTGACATATTCGATCCGATATCAGTCTACTTCACAGCTAGAAATGTCGCCACTGAGCTAGTTGGGCAGTGACGAGCCTCCTGTAAGACTGAGATAACTTAGTGGTGACATCTCTGGCTACAAAGCAGACTGGTGTGAGATTAAGTCCGTCAAGGAATATCACTTTTCTCAAATTGACAGATAGGCTTTGATGATGAGTGCCAACTAACACGAAACCTAGGCACACAGTTTCTTTTCAGCCACCTCCGAGAACCACTTCATATTGTAAGATAGTACATAAGTTTTCAAGTCATTTAGACTGGTTGCTATACTGGAACTCCATAGATACAATTCATTCAGTACTTGACATATATGACACTGATGACGACAGAATGATCAATCAAACATAAATACTTTCGGTAGACAACCATTAAAAGTTAGGAAGAACTAGATAGTTGTTTCGTTTCAGGGTTAAGATTTCCAGGCGGCGCGCATCCACGACCTCACAAGCAACCAATGAGGTCTCACATCGACGGCTTAAACTTTCAACTGCTGACATGCTATCTAATGATTTATATACTGAAATTCAATTCATTTGCAATATTTAACGATAATCATTTAATTCATAATGATCGTAAAATCACCTAACAATCACTTTAATTCATTACAAATTGTAACTTAATACCGGATTTATAAAGATACCAATAGACCAGTGGAGTTCAACCCTGTAGGGTGTAGGCAGTAACTACCAAAGACAAATGAGTGAGGTCACGCAAAATCTCTAGATCAATCAGAGTTAGACATTAACACTGTTGGATACTGGCTCAGTGGTCCAGAAGTTAGGTGTTCGCGCGTAAGATGGAAGGTCCTGGGTTTGAATCCTGCGAGGTGCAGTAGTCATGAGTGCGCACTGCTGAGGAGTCTCATACCAGAACGAAACGGCCGTGTTTCAGTGCTTCCAGGCTTCTAATGGTGGTCTAATAATGATTGTTCGATGATTTCAATCTGCATAACTTAAATCGAAAAAGTATCTTTGTACGAAAAGCAAAATTAATTCAAGCTATCAAAAAAAAAGAAAAACAATCCACTAGTCCTACAACCTTGATCTAGTTGTTGTTTTTTCCTTGAACAAATTTAGCATAAGAATTACTTAACAATCAATCTCGATAGCCAATAGTACATGTTCGTTTTGTTTTCTTATTGACCATTCAATTTTGAATTGATCATTAGTGCAATTAACAAAAAGAGAATATTTAAACAATTCATTTATAAACTGAAAGTACTTTTTAAATGAGAGAAAATTTTTTTTGAAAAAAATAATACTTCAAAATTGTTAGAAAGAAAATAAATGTCTAATTTGTAGTTTTAAAAGAACTTGACTGGATTTTCTATAGTCATGGTTAACCAACAAGCCTGCTGCACATGCAGGCAACGCAAGGATTCTCACTGTAGCCAACAGCAATCACCCCTGACCCAATCTGAAACATACATGTTTTCCAGTTTGGTATGCAGACAAGTGGACGTCCAAAAAGTACGCACACGAACAGTGGCCTCCGCTCGGGCACTTACCAATCAACAAGACCCCTCCAATCAGTCCACTACCCACAATCCCCAATCGGCAAGGGCGGCAAGGCGGGTTTACCCAGCTGGACCTCGCACCCCGAAGCCGATTACCGAGCCATCCAAGCAGTGCACTAGCCAGCAGCCGTTCCAACCGTCTAGTCTGCAACTGCCTTGCGCTGATACAATCGATCGGAGTCCCCAAGGCCCCATATGAAGCTAAAGATCGAGTTTGTCCCACAAGGTCAGCCGGGACGTACACATTTCCATGAGGAAGATGTCATGAGCTCGACCAAGCGCAAGCGCCCATCCAGACAGGTTTCATCCCACGAAAGTAGGCAGATATCAGTGGTGTCCAGTACCAGTTCAGCACTGGAACCCCGGAACCCTACTGGGGACCCTTGTTTAAGGGACAGCGACTACATCGGGTGCAGAGTGTAATGGACAACCACATAGGGTCGGCGTCTATAGTCCAAGATGTCTAAGGCTGCTTCCCCAAACAGAACTTCTAGGGCCGCCTTCAGTCATCCAGGAAAGCTACATCCTTTTCAAGGGATATGCTACTACGGAATGAGAGAGGACAAGTCCTCAAACCATTATCGGAATTTACCTACGCTCGTTGGACAGGATTCAGACTTAGAGACGTTCAGCCCTAATCCCCCAGAGTGGCTAACCGCATCCACAGCCTTGTGACCATGAACACGTACTATTATTCTGGACCATGTTAGGCACGGTATCCTAAGCGTTCGGAACGGC